CCCTGCCCATCCCTGCCCATCCCTGCTCATCCCTGCCCATCCCTGCCCATCCCTGCCCATCCCTGCCCATCCCTGCCCATCCCTGCCCGTCCCTGCCAATCCCTGCCCATCCCTGCCCATCCCTGCCTGTCCCTGCCCATCCCTGCCAGCTCCTCTGCTGCCACAGACACAGCCAGGACAGCACTTCAGCTCCTGGGGGTGCTGGAGCTCGGAGAAGTGTAAAACCAGCCCTGGCCACAGCAGCAGTTCCTGCAGGGAACAGAAAACCTTCCCTGCTCTTCTCCACTGACCCCTTTTCCCTCTTCTGTTCCCTGCCACAGGCATCATGTCCACTATGTCATCCCATACGACGGGGACCAGTCGGTGGTGGACTCCTCGGAGAATTACTTTGTGACTGACAATGTAACCAAGCAAGAGATTGATCTGATGCTGGGACTTTTGCTGGGCTTTTGTATAAGCTGGTTCCTGGTCTGGATGGACGGGGTTCTCCACTACGCCGTGCGAGCCTGGAGAACCCGCCGCCGGTATGGTAAGTGCTCCTGCTCCCTGCTCCCTGCTCCCTGCCCTGGCCCCCCTTCCCAGCCTCCTGCCAGGAGAAGGAGGAAGGCAACAGCTTATTTTTTCCCACACGGATTCAGCACAGGCCATAACCCAGCCCCCTCCTTCCTCAAACCCCTCTCCTCCCTGCTGGCGCGGGAGCGCGACGTTCCCGCGGCGTTCCTGGCTCTGGCACAGCCCAGAGAGCCCTAGAATAGGATCATAGGGTCCCTTAGGTTGGAAAATATCTTTAAGATCATCAAGTCCAACCTCTAACCCTCCCCTGCTATGTCCCCCCCTAAGCCACATCCCCCAGCACCACATCTGGGTGACTTTTAGACACCCCCAGGGATGGTGACTGCACCAGTGCCAGGGCCTGGCAAACCTTCCAGAGAGATACCCCAGAGGAACATGTCCAGGAAAGATCCCAGCCCTCCCTAGCCAAGCAGGTTTGCAGGAATGTTTCCATGGAATGAGCCAGCTGAGGATCCCTTGAGGGCCCAGCTCTGGAAGGGGGGAAGCCTGTGCTGGAGCCCAGGGGTGGCTGATGGAAAGCACCAGGTTTCCCTGTGGCCAGGCTGGCAGGTGGTGCCTGTTGCCTCCACAGGTGGCCAGAACATGTTCAGGCCAGACAAAACTTCCCAGGAATCTGGATTTTTTCCTTGCCTCTCCTTTGCAGCTGGGCAGGTGCTCCTGGTGTGCAGCCCGTTGTGGTTGGGACACGTGTGGCCCTGCTGGCAGAGACACGTCTGTGCTGTGCCAGGGCTGGGCAGCTCAGGGTTCTCCATCCTCACTGTTCTTCCAGATGGGTCAATTCTAGTTTTGTTGGTTTTTTTTTGCCAGCCCTGCAGGGCAAAGTGTTACCATGCTAGTTAGTCTTTGGACTAGTTAGCTGAGCATCCTGAGCTACCAGCCTGAGAATGACCAACAGATGCTCCTTCAGGGAGCTCTCTCAGCATGGGCATCTCATGGACTTTAATTATTAGAGGGCAAAAATGACAGAAAAACTATTAAGATAGTGAATGACTTGAAGTTCCATCACAGTGTCCCTGTGACTCTGACTGATGGTGGCTGTTAAATGACAACTCCAAGGGAAGGAGTGAGCAGGAGGCAGCTCTGGCTGCACAGCCTCAGGACCTGCCAGCTCAGCAGGGAAGTGGATCATCTCTTTCTAAAAACTCTGATCAAAATGATATTAATATCTCATTAGTCTTCCCAAATTCCCCAGCAACCTGCTGGAGCAGCTTCTGGACTCTCCTCAGCCTGCCTTGCTGCCACCTCCCCAGCAGAAGGAGCAGGGTCAGAGTTCCCAGGCAGCTGGAGGGGATGTTGGAGCCAAGGTTGGGGCTGGGACCCCTGGTTCTGCTCAGCCCCCCTGCCCTGAGCCCTCCCTGGCTCAGGTGCTGCAGGCAGCACAGCAAAGCTGCTCCTCAGGCCTTCCCGCCCTTCCTGTGCAGCCCCAACCAGCAGCACCATCTTACCTCTGCTCAGCAGGGCTGCCTAGATTTTGTGTCTTGAGTATCTTTCATTTTTAGCAGGTGTTATTTTTAGTAACTAAGGGGAATGCTGGTAATTAATTTGATGTTTAAGCTGAACAATCTCTTTTTCTTTCCTGTTTTTTTTGGTCTCTCCCTGTGCACACACACTCTGACGCTTTAGGAAGGTCTTGGCCAAGGCTGCAATAACCCCTGCAGATCCAGCTTCTCAGGAAATTAATGCTGCCTTATTTTGCACCCAGCTTGTTTCCTTCCCTCCCCCAGCCCTTACCAGCCCTGCTGTCCATGCCACAAAGGCCTGACACCCTCCCTGGCCCCAGACATGGTCCCTCAGAGCCATCTCAGTGGTGTTTGCCCCTCCCAGAGGACCAGCCAGGTCTGGATCCCCAGTTGGGTGCTTGCACCATTCCCAGCTCCAGGAACCAGCCCTTGTCCACACCAGTAGTAGAGGAGACCCTGGGACTTCCTCACCTCACCCATGGGTGAGGTTTCCAGACTCTGCTCTGCACTGGGACACAACTTCTCCTTCCTGGGAAGGTTTTCAGATGCCTGGAGCTGTTTCTGTCCCAGGGGAAAGCTGTGGGCTGTGCTGGGGACACCTCACTGAAAGACAGGCTGAAGAATCACCAGGGAATTTGGGGCAAAATAAGGAATGTTGAGCTTTTAGGTATCGCCTGTGCTTCCAAGGGCAAATCTAGTCATTTGAAAGGCAGGGAGGAGAAAGGTGGGTCCCTCTTTCTGTGCTCATTGGGTGCCTAAGCTGGAAGTTCCTTCTGAAGGAAAAAATGAAGCCTGTGACTATGAGAGATGGGGTCAGGGCACCCAGGACCTGGTGCAGGATGCAGAGCCCCCAGTGAGCCCCACAAGCCCCACAAGCATCACCCAACCTCACACTGTGGCCTCATCAGCTTCAGCTCTGGTCACTTGCAGGAACTCCTCCTCAGCTCCTTCCTGATGGAGGAGATGGCTTCAAATAGAAAATACTCTCTAGAAACTCAGTCATCAGGTTGTGCTCCAGGTGCTGGGGGCGGGGAACAGTCACATTTCACCTCCTGCCTGTGGAAATAATTCAGCTTGATACAAACTTTTGTTCTCTGGGACTTCAGATTCACCTTCGTGGGGTTGGGTTGGGTGTGTTTGTGGGTGGGATGGCTCAAAGCTCTCCTGGACACGGAGCCTGGCTGGGAAACAAGTGTGGTCTGAAGCCTCAGGGTGGCTTTGCCAAGGCCACAACTGGTGCCTGGTTCCTGTCAGGAACAGCAGGGGCCAGGAGCAGCAGGGGCCAGGCTGGAGGACGTGGGTCTCCCCGTTCCTGCCATAGCTCACACCTCCCTTCTCCCTTCTGCCTTCCAGACAATTCCTGGTCCTGGATTCCCAAATTTTGTAACTTGAAGGAGTTCAGGAAACGTCACCACAGGCAGTATGAGGAGGCCACTGGGAACATGGTGCACATCAAGCAGAAGCTGTACCACAACGGGCACCCCAGCCCCCGGCACCTCTGAGGGACCCCAGGGAGCTTTTCAGCAAGGACCTCACTCTTCCTCCAGGGGAAAAGCTGCCACTTTGCTCCTCTATGGAAGCCAGACCAGGACACAACTGGACTTCTCCAGCCCGGGTGTCCCCGTGGCACAGCCTGATGCACAACTGAGCCAGCCCGGGGCTGCACTGTGTGTCCCACCTGCCAGACTCTGTAAATATGTACAAAAAAAAAAAAGCCAACAACAAAGAGAAGAGATTTGCATTATCCTTTCAGCCCCCCCCTTCTCCTGGCACTCACTGCTCTCCTCCTCAACCAGCTGCCCTCCAGGGAAGGATGGACAAGGAGGTGGGACAACATGAGGAAGCTGCAGTTTCTCATCCGGGAGCTCCAGTCCCCCTTTTCTTTGGTCCTTTGGCTTGTTTTTGCTCTGCTCTGTCCCTTCTGTTGCTAGAATGGCTTGGCTGGTGGCAGGGTGGGATGGGCACTGCTGCCAGCAGGCTGGGAAGGCACAGTGTCCCTTTTCTTCCTGGTTTTGGGAGCTGCTGGAGGCCCTGGGAATAGATGCCCGAGCTGGTCCTGTCGTTGCTGTTCCCTGAAACCTGCCTTAAGCAATGCAAGAGCCTGAGGAACCAGCCTGGTGAAGGGGGACCTGGTGCTGCCTGGTTTGTCACCACCCTCCTGCTGGGGGGACCTTGCTGGGGTCAGTGCTGGTGTTTCTCACCAGGGCTGCTCTTGAGATTGGGTGCGTTGGGTTGGCTGGTGTTGGATCTGGTTTGCACCCTGAGAGCCCCCCCTGCTGCCCCCCCAGCCCCTGCCTGGGGGAGAGGAGCTGCTCCCCCCTCTCCTCAGAGCCTGGGAACCTGGTTCATACCCCCTAGAAACACCAACCATGCCCTGAGAGGCTCCTGACAATGGTCTCACTCCACCTGCACCCTCACTCCTCTGGGAGCTGCTCCGAGCTGGAGCTGCCCCTCAGCAGCAGCCTGGGCTTGGCTTGAGGGGCACGGGGAGATGTGGCCCTGAAACCAAACCCACCTGCAGCACTGATTGTCCCAACCCAGGGTTGGAAGAAGGTGCAAGGATGTTCTAAGGTGGGTTTTAGCCTTTGTCTCCCCCCGGCTCCGGCGTGGGAACGGGTTGGGATGCAGCTGAAACCAACCCCCACATCCAGGGAACATCCTGCCCTTCCAGGAGAGTTGCCTGGAGGACTGACAAGGTCTGTAGGCACTTGGAGAGCCTGGTGCTGGTTCCTCCAGCAGCCCTGCTGGATGCAGCAGGAGCAGGGGGGCTGCCATGGAGAGGGACAAGACTGGAGATGCTGACCCCCAGGAGCTGCAGGTGCTGGCCCTGAATCCCAGACATTTCTCCTTCATTCCTCATTTGGTACCAAGAGGGGTTGTGCTTACAAGGGGGGGAACATCCAGAATATTATCAGGCTCTGCTGGGTTTTTCTGTGGATCCCTGTGCTCTCCCAACGTCTGATCCCACTGGCAGTGAAGGGAGGACACCAGGACTCCCTGCTCTTCCCTCCCTGCTCCAGCTCCTCTGTCTTGTTTGTTCTCTTCATTCCTTCCTCTGCCCGGGGTCAGTTCAGCTCCTTGCAAAGCCCCCAGGCTGGGGGGGCTGAGAGCCCAACATCCCTGTTCTCTGCCATCCCTCTCTTTGCTATTCCCTAGTGCCTCTTGGAGCCCCAGGTTCTGCCTGGACCTGCATCCTGGCCTGGGCTGCACGTGTCTGTCTGTCTGTCTGTCTGTCTGTCTGTCTGTCTGTCTGTCAGTCAGGGTGTCCCTCTGGTGTCACTTCTGCACCCCCTCAGCCAGTAGCTACAGAACAACTTCTCCTTCAGCAGCCCCTGCCCAAGCCCCCAGGCTTGTCCCCTCCTTGGCTGGAGCAGCTGGGGACCCTTGGCCAGGTGGGCTCCTCCTCAGGTGGCTCCAGCTGCTCCTGCCAGGAGGAGATGCCCTGGGACCTGCCCTTCCCCAGGCCCTGGGGCACATGGACCCACAGTGCAGATGTCATGACCCAGGGACATGTCACAGCTGTGGCTTCAGGTGGGACAATGTTTTGGCAAGGGAGGAAATTCCACCATGACAGGGACAAATACTGAGTCATGGGACTCAGTTATGGAGGTTGGGGACAAGCACTTTACCTGTCCTGTCCTCTTGGTGCCTCTCACAGGAGGGACTCAAAGCTCAGCCTGAACCACTGGTCCTGCCCTCACTTCCAGCACCAGACCTGAAATACCAGCAGGTACCAAGCTCAGAGCTGGGCAGGTGATGTGGTGGCTCCCAGGGCCTGAGCCTGATCCACAGCAGAACTGCAGAAGAATCTGAGGCTCTGGATGAGGGACAAAAATTAAACCCCAACACGGTACATGTGCCCATTGTTTAAGAGCAGATTAACTATTTTTTCAGTCTCCTGAGGCTGCAGCTGCTCCCCCCTCAGCCCCTCTTGTTCACACTTAGTCAAAAAAATAAACCAGAAAATACTCTCTGGGCAGTTCAATTTAGTGGGAGTCATGAACTGGTGTTGGATCCAACAAGAAGCAGCCTCAGAGAGGGGCTTGTCCCAGCACTGACCCAACAGGCCTGATCCTGGGGAACCAACCAGGCTCTTGTCCCTCATCCTGAATAAATAAGGGGCAAAGTTCTTCCCTGCAGCCACCAGGGCCCTGTTCCCAACCCCGGGGGGCTGGTGGGAGGTTCCATCATCAGGTTTAAACCAGGACAGGAGGTCAGTCCTGCTGTGAGCTGCCTTTTCCTCCCAGCCAGGGGCTCCTGGGGGTTTGTTGCTCAGGGCTGGGTCACCCACCCGAGCAGGAGCAGCCAGGAGTGCCCAGGCTGTTGTGCAGAAGGTGTTCCCAGCAGCCAGGGGCTCTCTGGGGACACTGAGGAGCCCCCCCAGAGCAGCAGAGGGGCTGGCTGGGGCCAGCAGAGCCCCAGGACATCACTCTGTGCCCCCCTGTGTGACACCTGCACCCCCAGCCCCTCAGCTCCAGGTCCCACCAACGCTTCTGGCTTGGTGGGCTCCTGTTCCTCTGTCCCCCTGGGGCTGCAGCTCTGCAGGCTGCCCTTGCACTGTCTTCTTCTCCTGTGCACGTGTTGGTGTTGCTTTAGTCTGGTTGTGGGGGGTGTTTGCCCCCTCCTTGCCCTGTCTGACATGTCCTGGTGGTGAATTCCTTGTTGTTCTCTTGCCTCTGATCTGATCTGCACCCGAAAACCAACCGACCAAACCAAACCAGGGATGGAAACAACCCCAAAACCCAAACCCAGCAACAACCCCAGGCAAAAAAAGGGTTCAGCTGGGAGGACTTGGGCATCAGGGAGTTGACACAACCAGGTCAGGGCTGGGCAAGATGCTGTGAAGAGCCTGTGGGAGAGGAAATATGGGGCTGCAAACCAGCCCAACTGGCAGCAGCTCCAGGGGGACCAGGAGTGGGAACTGTGTCCCATGGCTCAGCCCTCCTCCATCTGCTGCTCTGAGGGAGCTTCTTGCAGCACCAGGTGGGGGCTGGAGTTGGGAATATCCCACAGGAGCTCCCAGGGCACCTCTGGTGTGAAAGAGCAGAAGCAATTCTATTAGCAAACAGCACAGACAGGGAGAGGTGGTTTGGGGGAAATGCTTTGCAACCTGGAGATGCTGGTGAGGCAGGTGCCTGGTGCAGGGACAGGATGGGGAGCAGGGGACAGACAGGTAGTTACTAGGGGACAGACAGGTAGTTAGTAAGGGACAGACAGGTAGTTAGCAGGGGACAGACAGGTAGTTAGTAGGGGACAGACAGGTAGTTAGTAAGGGACAGACAGGTAGTTAGCAGGGGACAGACAGGTAGTTAGTAGGGGACAGACAGGACACAGGGCTGCTGGGTCTAGCTGGGGCTGGAGGGAAGGTGAGATGTCCTCCCAGCCCAGCTCCCTGCCCTCCCAGGAGAGTGAGAGGCAGCAGGTTAAAGTACTGAAGAATAAATAAACAAGTTAAAAACCACCCACCCACCCAAACCCAGAAGCCAAGCCAGGCTGCAGCCCCCCAGGGGCTGGGGCTGCTGCTTTGTGGCCTGGGGAGGCTCTGGGGACACGGGGCCAGTTGTGTGTCTGTCTGTCTGTCTGTCTGTCTTTCCCTGTGTGTGTGTTCCTGCCCCCAGCTGTCCCCAGGGCACCCCCTCAGCCTCTCTCCTCTCCTTCCTCTTCCTTTGCACTCATTTCTCTCCCAGGGCGGGGGTCTCTGGTTTTACTCCCCTCTCCCAGCTGAGCCCTGGGCTTTCCATGGAGCTGTTTTGCTCCCAGCCGTGCTCTGCAGTGAGGACCTGACCCTGCTCTGCTGCTTTCCCTGCTTCTCACTCCTCCTTTCCTTTCTTTTCCCCCCCCTGCACTCAGACCAGTTTTGCAGGCACCAGCCAGGACGAGGTACAACACAGGTTGGTACTGACAGAGAGGGAGGGAGGAGACTCTGCTCTAACAACAGCATCACCTCTGCTGTGGTTGAAAAGCAATAATGGCTACTTTTCTTTCTTTCTTTCTTTCTTAAACACACTTGCACGAGCTCATGTCACCTACAGGCTGTGCTGGGAAGGGGTGACAAGGCTGTGCTGAGGCTCCAGGGAGCAGCAGGGGGGCTGGGGAAGGGGGGGGAGGCAATAGAAAAAGCACACTGTGATTTCCTTTGGGTCAGCAAGGGAGTGTATTTCAGCCATTCCTTCCCTTTCCAGACCATGTTTGTATCATAGACAACCAGTTCAGCTCCTGAAACTCAGCCCATCCTTTGCTGTTTGTCAGTAAAATAGGTTTTTTTTGCATGTTTTGCTTCTGAGTGGTTTGTTTTTTTTTTCCTTCTGGGTTTGTTTGGGTTTTTTTCCAACCCTTGGAAGTGGGAGATAATCCTGGGGAAGGGGCTGGATGGGGGGGTGGGAGGAGGAGGAGGCACCAACAGGGTGGACTGGGGTGGGAAAATGCTGTGCTGGCTGTGAAACCTCCCCCAGGTTAGGTGACATCATGGGACACTGTCCCAGATTTGAAGCCTGCCTGTCTC